CCCACCAAAGTCTATCCAATCGACTCTTTCGCTCTCTCTGGCCTGCTCATGCTTCAGCTCCTCCCTCCACTTTGCTTCCTCCCTCTCGTATTCGTCGAACGCTCGCCTTGCCGCCTCCCGCTCCCGCGCTTCCATCTGCTCCGCCTCTTCTCTGCGCTCTGCTTCTTCTTGCGCCACCTTCTCCCACCAAAGTCTATCCAATCGACTCTTTCGCTCTCTCCTGGCCTGCTCACGCTTCAGCTCCTCCCTCCGCTTTGCTTCCTCCCTCTCATATTCGTCGAACGCTCGCCTTGTCGCCTCCCGCTCCCGCGCTTCCATCTGCTCCGCCTCATCTCTGCGCTCCGCTTCTTCTTGCGCCACCTTCTCCCACCAAAGTCTATCCAATCGACTCTTCCGCTCTCTCTGCTCTTCTTCCTGCATAATCTCATCCCGATTCGTCCCCTGGGGCCCTGGATCTTTGCCTAGGCTGACGCTCGCCTCCATTGGAAATGCCTCCCCTGCGCCGTTTGGTAGCTCCTGATCCCGGCGTTCTTTCTTCTTCAAAAACTCCTTCCAGGCTTTCCGTCGCTGCTCAAACGCATCCTGTGCCTTGCTCTCCTCCTCTTTCTTCGCATCCTGCCGTTGCCTAGCGTGCGCCCTCCACTCCGGCTGAGCCTGTCTCCTTCCATCGGACGGCGACGCCGGCTCCCCTCCTGGCTGCGCTTGTGTCTTTTGAGTCTCCTCCTGCTCTGCACGCTGCGCCTCCTCCCTTAGAAGGCGCTTCGAAATTGCCTCTTGCACTGCCACGTGCCTTCGGCGACTAGCCGCCTGCTCGCGCGCGGCCGCCTCGTTTTTCGCGTCCAACACCCGCACGGCCTCGCGCACGGTCTCGAGCTGCTGCTCCTTCGCCGCGCGTAGGGCGCGCTCGGCCGCCTCGACTGCAGCGTCGGCTTCGTGCTGTCGCGCGCGTGTAGCCTCGTACGCCTGCGCCGCGTCGGCGACGGCCTGCTGGGCGATGCGTTCTGTGTCCTCAGCCATCTCCTGTTCGGCGCACGCGGCTCGTTCGGCCTCTTCGGCCTCTTCGCGCTTGCGCCGTGCTTCGTCAAGAACCGCGTGCTGCTCCGCTTTCTCTTGCGCGGTCGGTTTGCCATTCGATCTCTCATCAGGGACCTTCGTACCGTTCGCTGATCCAGGTTCTTGCTGCTCGTCGAACCTCAGCACAGAAATATCATTCTGTCGCAAAAGAACTCTACTCACCGGCATTCTTGGTCCCCATACGCTTCCATTTTTTTCAGTGGCTGACTGATCGGTAGTAGGTGCCAATCGGAAGAGGTCTTGATGTAATGGCTCGTGGTAGCGTACTATCAGGTTCTTGCCTCCGACCACCCTACCATTCATGGCCTCTATAGCTAGGGTGGCTAGATTCGCATGTGAGAACAATGTCAGTCATATTGATGCGCATATAATACCTTCATTAGCCGTTTTGTAGAAAACAAAGCCAAAAGCGTCTGGTACGCCCACTTTCTTCATGTATGCCCTATGGCACCAAAGTCTGTTGACAGAAGAGACGAAGTTTGGCAAATTAGACGTACTCTAAAACTTCACCGTGCTGAATATAACGTTAGCGCGACCTCAATAGCGCGAGACAATTGAAATATGCCATACCGGTGCGAAAGCATCTCGCAGATCAGGCTGTCTCCAAGCTGAACCAAAGTTCTATCGTGAAAATTGTTCAGCTCCGTCGTTACTGTGCGCTCCATGGCGCGACCTACCGAGCAGTACAGGCCACGAGGGTCAAATGTCCGCAGGCCGAAGGGCCTCATGCCTGCTAAGGCAGGGTGCATTGAGCGGCAATTCGTCCTGGAATACTGGGCATGCTGTTCGTGCCAGTATTCAAGGACGCAGGTCGCGTGTGCATGCCCTACGTTGACCTTCACCTTCACAGAAACCAGTGGTCCTGCAGATCGGAACCACGCAAACATATCTTGAGCACTTGCGCTGTAGAGAACATGATGATCGCGTGAGGGAGCTTTGATAATTTGAGGAGAGAGGCGTTCAGACGGGAATGCTCCGTCAAGAGACGGCGAATGCGAGAGTGACAGTTTGAATGGTGGTGATACTCCTGGAACAACCGCACCCTGTAGCGTCGCTAATGCCATTTCAGCTGGACACAAGCACAGTAAGCAAAGAACGGAAATCACGGAAAGTTGTGAAAGGACAAACCGCGGAAGACATCGTTGAAGATCAACGTCCATTTCGTGCGGCCGTTCGTGGTGCTCTTGCCGCCGGAACGTATAAACCCACACGGTTTCAGCACTTGAATCAGGTGCGACCACTTCACATCATGTCTCACATCTGCAACATAGAGAGTCGAAGATGTAAGCAAGGGGTGAGCTGCGTCCATATATGCGGTGAATGAGCGAGAAGGTAATGGCAATTTGCCGGCGGGTGTTGATGTCGAATATTTCGGGGCCTTCTGCTGCCTTTGTCGCATTAAAGAGTATAGAATAAGTTTTTCTGATCCCTAGACTATGCTTCAGAGATCAGAGCACGCTGGTAGTCCAGCCTGTGCGGCTGGAGAAGAGCAAGTGCATCCCCAGCTCGATTCGCGCTCATGGGCTACGAGAGCGCTAATCGTTATAATAAACGCCGACTTTTCCCGCAGTGGTCGGCTCGTCAAGCTTTCAAGCCTAAGATAGACCCAGTTCAATTTCGACGAGTGTCGTCACAGTGTGATGGTCACGCGCATGTCGCGGAAACGCGCGGCCGCGATGATAAGCCCAACAATTGGGATCCTCCCTGCTCAACAGAGAGAGAGCAGATGTAAATAGACAAACCATAGACATGCCCAAACTTTCATACAAACAAACTCCATGCTATGAGGCGAGTTCCGCAATCTCCCTCCTCCGAGTCCTTGTGCGCACCCGCTGACTGAGGTACTCCCTCACAAATGCAACTGCTTCCCCTGTAAAGTCCCTGTAAGCATGCATAGAGCGATCTCTCCGAGTGCGAAATATGGCCGTACAGCATGAGTACGAGAGCGGCACACAATCTGTGGAGGCGCTTGATGACCTATCTCCAAAATCTGAGCTGCGTATTACCTTAATCGACACTTATTTAACGCTGACTTTAGTTCTTGTACATCCCATAAAACTGTATTCTGCTCAATTAAAAACAATTGATAACGGTCAAGTAGTAGTTCAATGTGTTCTCTACAAGATGACAGTTGTAAATTTTTGAGCTGTCGTGTGCACACAAAGTTATGGATTAACTCGAGTTTTGCTCCTGCGAAAAGAGACGCGGCGTGACAGCGCTCGCTCACGTGATGTAGTCGGAATTGAACTGGGTCTATCTCACAAAGCACCAAGAGACCGTTAACGTAACTGATTCCGTACGTCATACTCAGATACTTAAGCTCAACAACCTTTAGCGTTGTCGCAGCGGCCCAGCCTTAACTAATCGGCTGAGCACCAAGTACTGTACTTTTACGACCGTAGCGGATGAAAGTGCCCAAAATGAGTTTTTCCGACAAGTCGCCGAAATCGCCATAAATCAAAAGAAAAATCAAAAATATTGACGGTGTCAGCCGAAAAGCGGTGTGACATGTGACATCCGCTACGGTCGTAAAAATACAGTAACTGGCGTTTGTTGTGAAAGGCCTAGTCGACTTTCATCACGTTCAGGTTAGAAATCGTACCGTGCTAATCTATTCAAAGTAAAGAATCGCCTCCCAGCACTTATTTCTGGTAATATCTTATCGGACAGGTCTTACGGGCTGGTCGAGCACTACAATTCGAACGTTAGCGTGCTTAAAACCAGCCTTCAGCGGGTACGCAGATTGGTCAGCATTATGCCTTCGTTTTTGTTCACGCCCGAAGATTTATCTCTTTTAGTTGCGATCTCGATGCGGACTGCTCAACCCTGTTACGAAGACTGGACCACGACTACCGCAGCCTTGGGTGGATCTATTGTCCTACGGCCGATCAGTCAGGTTCCTGCGCTTCGTCCTAAGCCACTATACAAGCGTATCGCCATACTTCATGCGCTAGCATCAGCAATTCCCCTGCTTTCTCTTGCGCATACCGCCTGTGCGAGCAACCAGACGATTTCGTACACCCCCTGCCGCTCCATGCCTACAAACCCGGTTCATCTAGCCGACTATTCTCGCGAGCGTGCAACGCCAAGGGCAGGTGCCACATCTTTGTCTCCACTTCCAAATAACACGTGTTGTTAGTCTGACAAGGCCTCATCTCGAGTTATCTCACAACGCCTCGAATGACATGTTCTCATGTTCATCAATATTGCTATGGCATTGCTCACGGAGACACTGTCAGTCCTAGTTCTCAGCCCTACGGATCTCGGGCCCGCCATGATAAGGTTGACGATGGGGCAAGTCGACGAAAGGAGTGAGACGGAGGTGGAGAGGCACACCACCGTCTTCAGGCATGTCTTTATATGTTCTCCCGGATGCGTGGCAGTTATCCTTTGGGAATAGCGGTGTGAGCCACGGCGCACCACCAACGAAAGTCTCGAATCATAAATCCTCGGTATACTGTGCATGATAACGGCATGCATTACAGTCCAGTACTCACCTAGGAAAATTTACACAGCCCGAAGAGCCCCCGACATGCTGCCCCATCTCATCTTGCGGGAAACCTGTCGCGAACGCGCATGAGCTCATGGAGCATATACCTGAGCACAAGTTGATGCTGGGACAAACGACGAGGTGTGCATCCCACTCAGTCTCGTCCGAGCGTCCGCACTGACCCTTGCTGAAGGGTTGGTAGTACCATCATTATTCTACGACGAAGGCTGTCACCGCACGGTGACACAATGGAGCAACATCCAGGCACACTACAACAGGCATCTTGGCGCCGAACCCCCTAGATGTCCTGAGGGCGAGTGCAGCAGGAAATTTCCGGATCAGTTGAGCCTGACGAGGCATCGCAAAGCCGAACACGGCCACAAGCCCAAACACAGGGCGCCGCGGCACTTCCGGGTTAGCAGGGCGTCGAGGAGCCGGGAGCTTAGAAACTGCAATGGTGAAGGCGGCGACGGAGAGCGGATACCTGGGCAGATGGAATCAGCTTAGGGCATCCCTACACCTCACTTTCGCTCAGCAGCGGACGACGCACGATTGCAGCCCGCGAAGCACACGGAGCATGTGCCCACGGCCTTGGATGCACTCAACAATCCGTATTCTCATGTGTATCCTCGCAAGGTGCCCTCAGACGCGGCATTTAGCAGCGAACGAACCTTTGCCCAGCTTTCGCCTGTCTATCGTCCGCTCGACCCACCGCTCGCGGGATCGAGCGCGCATCCTCAGGGTACTATCTGCTATCCTCGGCAAGCAGAGCAGTTCGGCCATGTTGTTACCTCGTACTTCCCGCCTCCGTTACCTGCTCGTGGCCTTGGCCGTTTTCACCCAAGTCCCGCGACCTACGGCTTTGGGAATCCGCTGTATGCTCTGGGATGCACCTCTGGCACACCGCTACCTAGTGTCTGGACAACTTCAGATACGTTCAACCCTTCGATACTGCCACCGTCGACCATGTACAATCTCTCGCTAATGGGCTCCCAGTCTCTACCGCCTCACTGTCTGGCTGACCCGGCTCGCTCGCATATTGGCCCTCATATTTGGCGCCTGCGATGCCAGCAGCGGGCGATATCCTCAACTGGTCGTGCACTTCTTGATATCCTTCCCCCCAGGAGCTTTCGCCATCAATAAACTGTATAGAATCTTATGAATAAACCTGTACTTAGCTTAATCACTCTATTTCTGTGGGTGAGGCCACTTGCAGGGTCGCAGGAGCCGCGGTAGGGAGTGCTCGGGGTCCCGATGTAGCGTAATGCGTATCTTTGATAGGCGCTTAATCTGATCATTAGGCTGACGCCTAAATTTGCTCCGCTATCTCTTGGGAGAAAGCGTCTGTTGCTCTAAAATATTCGTTTATGCGTGGTTGTCGAATATTTTGAGAATATTCATACACTCAAAAGCGATTCAAGCCCCCTCCGGGATAGTCTCATGTAAGACAAGCGTATCCCAAGGAGGCGCCTCAGATCATCCCCTCGAAGTTCCTATCTGCGCCACCGCAGATGGATCTACAGTTCAAGCGCAAGGTCGCGTGCAACTTGGACATATGGCACTGCGGTAAGCCTCCGATCAACTCCCAGCAGGGCGATAATCAAGACTTACCCTATGCGGCGCTCGATGTCGGCAGCAGCCATAGCATATCCGAGGGTCCAGGGGCCGTCTCGCATGGGACGCCCCGGGTCCTGGACAGCATCTTTGCTTCCAGGTTGCGAATTATGCCAAGTCTGCTGTTGTGACCGAACTGAGGGCAGAGAACAGCTACAAGGATGCAGTGCGTCTTCGCAAATTTCGAGAAAGCGGACACTCCTAACAACGTTACCCCTAAAAGCAACAAGGCTTCACATAGCACCAACAAGGAGCACCAGCTGTAGTCTGATGCTGCCGGAAGGGCTGCTGGGGTCTGGCGGTCCTCATACAGCTCCGGTTATCGAATCAGTCCAGATATACTGAACGATGCCTCTATCCATACGTCTACGGGCTGCGGCTGGAGATCGCGAGACGTGCTTGTTTGGCTAGCGAGAGCTTGTACTGCGGGTGAAGATCGAGGAAGGTACAGCTACTGCATCGTTTGAGGCATTGTACGCCCGTAAAAATGGTCGCCTTGTTCGTCCTTTCCGTCACACGGCGCCGAACAGATCACTTCAAAGCAAGTAGTACGCCCCAGCTTCTTCGCGCTCACTTCGAATGACCGCTCATAAGCTTACACCAGGAATATTTGTGCTCTCAATGCTCCTGGGCATCCACCGCGCTTTGATGCACGCGCTGAGCAGGCCCGCCGCCATTGCAAAGCCGAAGTGGAGCGTCTTCCCAATCCAGAACGCTTTCCTCTTTCGCGACTCAGCAAGCGCTTTTGCCAAGGCTTTTTACGATGGCCGTTATCATCTCATCGCGTTCGCGCGGAAACGTCAAAGGTTGAAAGTTCCAGCTGCCGCTAGATAACAATGGCCAATTAATTACGAAGTCGGACTTTCTGATGCTTTGCAGAGCCACGCAAATGCGTACGCCAGAATCGGGCGCTTGCGGACGATATAGACGGAAGCTGGTGGAACCGACTGGGCACGTGAGCGGTATGGAAATATGAGTGTCCACTATTCTCAAGCACATTAATGACGTTCCGCCGCCACAGAGTTTTAATGCCCGATTTTCGAGTCTGCCTCCTCCTGCAGTGGAGCTAAGTCATATTAGGATCGGCGGATCACTACCTCTTCGGTGTTAGCACATTCAGAAATTCTTTCGCAATCTTCAACGAAACGCTACCGGTGGGGGTCGCGCATGTGGAAGCGACACAGCATAAAGTTGATAGACGACTGGCCAAGTCACTCATAAATCGTACAAGTGGCTGCTTCTGTCAAGGCAGTCCGCCTCCCCGCCTATCTCACCTTGAATATGTCGACACAGTCAGACCAAGCTCTTGTTCAAGCCTACTCGCAGGTGTAAGCATCACTTTCCTGTGCACTTGACAAGCTAATGCTAACATCTCGGTCCTTCAGCCTCATACCACAATATATCTTTACAGCTGTCTCGTGTGAGTGCATTCATCGCCGTTCCTTGCGCCGCTCACAACATCTTCAGGTTTGGTCGTCTATGAGTTTCTGATTACTATCGGTGACGAGATAAACACCGTCTGGAAGCGGCCTATCACCAGATCTGCCGTTCTCCTCGGCTCGATACGCTGGTGCTTGCTCCTCTCGACCATCGTACAATTTGTGCCGGCAACTATGACTGTGAGCTTCTATCGCCTTTAAATACTCGAAGATTTTGATGATTTTTCCTGCAGAAGTGATCTTGATCTCTTCAGAACATGTGTGTAACAAACTACTCACCTGAACCCGACACATAGCTGCTCAACGCTTGAAATCGTAACCTGGATATTCATTCTCGCTGGATTTTTCCTGACCGGACGTACGCTTTGCACAGCTTGCTCAAGTTAAAATTGCCCACTGACTTCCACGCGCCAGTCTTCTCCACCCTGCGTGCCTTCGTAGTCTCGGATGGGAGCCGTTTCTGGTCGCTGGTAGTGCTCATGCTGAGCATGGTGCCATTTGCAGTGAACGTAGCGCGTATCGCTCTTCTTAAACCTTGTGTATGTTCTGATTGATGTCTCTGTGCAGGTAGACGCGGCGGTATCGAAGTATGGTCCCGTTATGGATCCGCTTATCGGAATGACATGCGCCTCGGAGCTTCCATTATCCGCGCGAACAACCCGCATGTGGGTGTATATATCATATCTCGCTGCTGCTGCCTTGAAATACTAATCTTTCGTTATATAGACGTACGTTCCTCGGCGAAAGGCTTTGGCAATGGAGGAGACGCTGACATCACCTGCTCACAGTCGTGTACGCATCCCGCGGCTCACTTGTCCTCTCTGACACGATCGTGCTCGTCTTGACCTGGATCAAGACGTTCGGAGAGTGGGCACGCGCCCGTAGGCTTAAAGTCAAGGTGTCGCTGACAACGTGCCTCCTCCGTGATGGTCAGTAGTCCCTTATGCACCGTTACAACTCGCCGCCGCTGAGACATAGCTGCCATGCAGGGACTATTTATTTCATGTGAGTACGACGAGAGATCCGCCCGCCCGCGGAGAGTGTTGAAATGATAAATGTAGAGCTCTGTTAGCAATGAACATCGCTCAGCTGCTGGCATACGACTCTTCTGGAGTACGTTTCCAACATGAGCGTGCAGGCCACGGGCTAACGTCGTTCTTAAGGTCACGCCTCCAGTATCCACGTTTATCATGACTTTGGTGTGTGTACCTACTTTCCGTTTACCAATTTGATGCTCACTGGCCACGCAGCCCCCGTTGCTCATCAGCCGCTTCATGATCAACCTGCGGACAGCCGACTCGGAAGTGCCGAACCACTCCGCATGCATTGCTGGTACGCAGCAAGAGCTATCAGCCCTGCAGTTCAGAGAGTCGCCAGATTGGCTGGGTAATATTGGGGAGACACTGCAGGATGGCTGGAGCGATGAATCCCGTGCCGAAGGAAGTGGTGCTGCCGAAGCGGACGAGGCAGGATGTCATGAAACCAACGCCGAGGCATAAACCGGTGTCGAAGGTTATGTTGGGCTCTATATATTGCCCTGTTCCAGGCGGGCAGCGGCACTTGTAGCTTATACGAGTAGGAAACTCGAAGATTATGGCATCGGATGATCCCAGCTCAGTGGTGTGCGGTTAGCTGCGGGTCACACTGCGAAAACATCATGTTAGTCTCGTCTGTCAGGTGGATCCCAATAAATAATGCGCATCACAGGCGAATTTTAGCGGAGAAAACACGGCTGCGCATATTGAGGCTCAAAATCCGGCATCGAGTCGCAAAAATGCGCAGGATGGCGAAAACCGGGGCGCAGAAGTGGGTGGGCAATTTGGACTCGAGCAGACTGCGTGGGGCGTACGTGCAGTCTGAACGAACCTTATGAATTTCAAAGAGAATACACTTTCTCCTGTATAAAATGCCGCTTCAAATTTTATATAGTCAAATATATTTGAGGGTTACATCCAGGCTCACTGATGTGAATTGTGTGGTAGTGGTCAGTAGAAGCATGCACCGTCTTGCTGAGCGAAAAGTGCAGTGGATGCAGTGACGAGTCTCTTCCGGACAATATTGTCTGGAAGAGACCTGTCACTGCATCCTCTGTCATGCTCGCCATCGCCGATGAGATTAACATTAATGTTGATGTCGTCAGCAATCACGGTGATCATGAACTCGTAGATGACGAAGGCTAAGAAAAGAACAACCGAGGGCTATGTTTGGTGTGCGATTTTGTTCACACGGCTTATGAACGATTTGGTTGGTCGTCTATCAACATATACGTCGTGTCCTTGAAGCAGTAGGCTGGCGATTGGCACCTGATACGAATGAACGGCGACACAACGCCTGCTGTACAAGGAGCATCGCACATAAAGATGAAGTTGGCTGTAGTATGTCCAGCCGATGCCAATAGATGCCAATGTGGTGAGCCTAGCGTCCTGTGCCCGAGTGATTGCCATGGGCTGCAGGACATTCAACAACGATGAGTACTATAGGAAGAATCAGAAGCGTTTGATATTGACTTCGAACGTGAGACCTCAGCTAATACCGTCGGCTTCGAGCAATGCCAGCGCACCTCGTAGCGATGAAACATGTTAACGGGCATGCACAAGTCGCACGCCAGGGCGCCAGGGCTTCTACCCGTTGATGCGCCCTCATGATGGGATCAATATGATGCGCCCTTGAATTCCCGTCACCGGCTTCGAACTTTCGGCATCCTCCTTCACTCCCAATACTGTACTTTTACGACCGTACCGGATGTCACACGTCACACCGCCTTTCCGCGGACACCGCCAATAATATTCTCTCGATATATGGCGATTTTGGCGAGTTGTCGGAAAAACTCATTTTGGGCACTTTCATCCGGTATGGTCGTAAAAGTACAGTACACGCACATCATATACGTCCATACTTCTTTGCAGGTAGGACTCGATCTTGAATAATCGAATATTGAATAAAGGCATTGAGCTGGTATACCTTTTCTGCCCTCCCTCAGCGATCGCACCCCTAACGTTGGTCTGCAGCCTTGACGTCCCCCCGTTCAGCGACTCGGACGGACTTGTCCGTGCTCATCCACTCATGCGTATGCTGTGCTTGTGTAATCATTCTAGAGTATTTATTGTATATGTGCAGCTTAGTTAAGTTATACTTCGTCTTAAGGCAATCCCGTGGTAGATCTCGCTAGATCTCAGTTGTCATGACACGAGTCCCGCTGGTCAGAATTAAGCTCAGCGGGTGGGAACACTCAGCCCCTCAGTCTGCCACAGGTGTCGTGCGAACGAGTAGGTCCGGTCCCTCATACTGGGGAAGGAAGCAGTCTCGATGCCACAGGTCGTATGGCCGGACAGGTCTGTACAAGGATGATTGCCTCCGTTACAAGTATTCTCTTCGTCCCAGCGGGATTGTGACTCACGAATTCCCGATGAACATCATCTGTACGCCGCCTACTAACGTGAGTTCGAACCTCCGGAACAAATTTGCGAGGTTCATGTAGAGCTCGCACCACCCGAGGCTACGCTATCGTTATTTTCGTTGGATTTTGCCAGTCCAACGAAGATGATGCGTACTTGATACCAAGGCAGCTCCTCAGCCCCTTGGAGAACGCGACGAGCCAAGTATCGAGCGATTCAGCGCCGGGTGTAATCCAGCGTTCGGGCCGGAACATGTGCGGGTCAGGGAAGAGAGCCGGGTTGAGATGCACAAAAACGTTGCTTATCCCAACTTTCGTCTGGTGTGAGATGTCAATACATCGGCGTATACAACAGCCAGAAAGGGGTGACGCACTCCGCCGGGGGCGAAGTGTCCGCCGAGCATCGCGCCCTGTGACGGGACGACGCGCATCATGGGAGAGGTGACACCGTGGCTGAGGCGCAAAGACTCTTTGCACACAGTTTTCTGTTCGCGAGGTCGGTCAGGAAGCCAAGTAAAGCCTTGCAGACGGAGACTGAGGCGCGCTCACAGGTATGGTAGGCTTTCCAGCATCTCAAGTTTTGGCTTCTCGTCCAGCCGCGGCCAGGCCGCCCTGAGCTCTGCCTTCAGCTTCTCACCGATGTACCCGTCACCACCCAGAGCAAAGAGCATCCCGAGCGCGGACGCATTGCTCGTCGTGTCTGTGCCTGCGACGATAACCAAGTTCGCTTCGTCGCGTAAAGATGCTTTACTTAGCTTCAGGCTCTGCGCAGGATCGAGGAGTAAGTGAAATATGAGTGGGTGGGGTGCGTTCTCGAGGGCTTCTGGCTGGTTTGTGTACATGTCGACTTGCTCTTCAATTTTCTGCTCGACCAGAGGAGGGTGAGTGCTACGCCAGCCGAGTGCATCACTGCGTAGCCTACCTTATACACCCGAAAGTATCCCTTCGGCTCCCTCCGCCGCATCAAAACAAGTTTCACGCGCACCATAAACATTGCCAGTGCTCTGAGCAGCGGATGGTGCTTCCAGAAGTGGAAATCGGCGTTTCTTTGATGCATCCGCTCGAGGGCCTGCGCGCGAAAGTCCAACGCGCGCAGTATATGCATCGACCAGCCGAGGCAGAAGGACGTCACATTGTCGAAGTTGACGCAGCGGAAGGCGCGGAAGAAGTCTGTGGTCTTGCCCTCCGCGGCGCGCGAAGCAATGATCTCGCAGAGTTCGTCGATCTACATTGCAAGCCACAGTGTCAGCACTAGCTACAAACAGGGAACGACGTGTGGAGACTCACGCCCTCTTGGACGACCGTCTGAAGGCTCAGGATCGACTTACGCGAGAAGTGCGGGGCGACGAGATCTTTGCGCCG